CAGTGACCAATTATACCCCCCACACATAATGGTTCTGAACCCCTCATTTTGTATCCATGTTGAGAATGTGAAAGGCCCAACAGCCTTTGTCACATTCACCTCCAAAATATTCCTTTTGACCGCATCACTGGTGAGGTCACATATCCCCCAATGTTGCTTGGTTTAGCGCCTTCTCTTGCAGTACAGGGACTTATCCTTGACTTATTGTGAGGACCTCCTGGTATCTCTTAAGACACTGAAGTTCTTCATGAGTTCTTCCCACACCTCCTTATCATTCTTTGTGTATCTATTCTCCCCTTTTCTCAGTTTCATCACTTGTTCCTGTACTGCTTTTTCCTCCTGATGTGGCTCATTAATAATTTTGGTTGGGTTTTGGCTTTACTTGCGATGTTATTTTCATACTATTTTTCTGCTTCTCTCCTCATTCTGAGATACTCATTCCTGACCTTCTGGTATCTCTCCCTGCCCTCTGATGTTCTCTTATTTCTGAAGTTTCTTTACGTTCTTTTTCCTAATTGCTTTGCTTCTTTACATGCCTGATTGAACCATGGATTCTTGTGTTGCTTGTAATTGTTCTCCTTTTGGGCCAGGATAAACCTGTATGCAGCTTCCTGGCATTTCTGGGTGACGTAATCCATCATATCTTGTTCAGTCTTTTCTCTGAGTTCTGTTCGTATAGAATTTCTATTAAGAAATTCATTATCTTCTCATTGTTAATTTTTCGGTAAGCCTTTCTTGCCCTTTTTGATCCCTTCCTTGGATAGGTTATCCCTACTTCCACCAGATAATTAAATATCAGAATGATGTGATCATCCATTTCCATGAGGGCTACTAATTTGACTTCCCTTATGTCTGGTCGAATATCAGGTCGAGTCTAGCTGGTTCGATGTTTTCCTCATTGGGTCACTTGTGGGTCACTTGACATGTTGGCTCAGAAAGTTCCTTGTTGCTGCATCCAGTGGTTTAGCTCTCCATGTATCTGCACCTTCATGTGGTTCTCTTTTCACCCAGTCTATCTTTCCATGGTTGATGTCCCCCATGATTAAAAGTCTGAATCCATTCCTGCAGGCAACTGAAGCTGCTTTCTCTCTATTCTATTAATGGTTGCCATATTGTTCCTATCAAACTCCTGTCTGGGTCTTATATCATTTAAATAGGGGTTATAAATTACTGCTAATATTATTTTTTGTCCTCCCTTTGTCACAGTTCATGTTATGTTGTCTCTGAATCATTCACAACCTAGGATATCCATCTCTTCGAAACTCCAATCATTCCTAATCAGCAGGGCCACTCCACCTATTCTCTCTTCCCTTCCTTCCTTACTATACAGTAATCCGGCAGAAACACTGCATTTGTTATAATGCCTGACAATTTTGTTCCTGCGAGTGATAGTGTACTCACCTAGTTGTGTTTGCGTTGGTTGAGCTTTGGCTCTTTGGTCCCGCCTCTCAACCGTCAATCAACTGATGCACAGATTCCTGAGCCTATTGGGCTATATCATATCTTCTCTTGAAACTGTGTATGGAATCAGCCTCCACCATATCACTGCCTAATGCATTCCACTTCTTAACTACTCAGACACTGAAAAAATTCTTTCTAACGTCCTTATGGCTTATTTGGGTACTCAGTCTCCACCTTTGTCCCTTTGTTCGCGTACCACCCGTGTTTAAAAGTTTATCCTTATATACCCTGTCAATTCCTAAGAGAATTTTGTAGATAGTGATCATGTCTCCCCCTACTCTTCAGTCTAGTGAGGTGCATCGCACGCAGCCTTTCCTCGTAACTCCTGCCTCTTAGTTCTGGGACTAGCCTAGTGGCATACCTCTGAACTTTTTTCAGCTTCGTCTTGTGCTTGACAAGGTACGGGCTCCATGATGGGGCTGCATGCTCCATGATTGGTCTTATATATGCTGTGTACAAGGTTCTGAATGATTCCTTACACAGGTTCCTGAAGGCTGTTCTGAAGTTAGTCAGCCTTGCGTAAGCCGCACATGTAATTATTTTTATGTGGGCTTCAGGAGACAGGTTTGGTGTGATATCAACTACTAGATCTTTCGCTCAGTCCGTTTTATGAAGTACTTCATTTCCCATTCGGTATCCTGTGTCTGGCCTCCTGTTTCCGCCGCCACGTTTCATGACCTTGCATTTACTTGGGTTGAACTGTAGTTGCCATTTGTTGGACCATTCATTCAGCTGTCATCTTGTAGCCTCCTACTATCTTCTTCTGTTTTAATCCTTCTCATAATTTCTGCATCATCATCAAACAATGAGAGGAGGGATTCTGTACCCTCTAGGAGATCATTTATATATGTCAGAAGCAGTACAGGTCCAAAGACTGAACCCTGCGGGACGTCTCGCCAATCTGAGGCTTCACCCTTCACAGAGACTCGCTGTCTTCTGTTGCGCAGGTATTCCCTTATCCAATGGAGTACTTTCCCTTTCACTCCTGCCTGCATCTCCAGCTTTTTTACTTGCCTTTTGTTTGGTACTGTGTCAAAGGCTTACTGGCAATCCAAAAAATGCAGTCTGCCCACCTCTCTCTTCCTTACCTGATTTTCGTTGCCTGGTCGTAGAAGTCAATTAATCCTGTGAGGTAGGACTTGCCATTCCTGAACCCATGTTGATGCTGTGTTACAAAGTTCTTTCGCTCCAGATGATCCACAAGCTTTTGTCGCACACTCTTCTCCATCAGCTTGCATGGTATGCAAGTTAGGGCAACTGGCCTGTAATTCAGTTCACCTTCCTGGGATAGGTTTGGCATGATAACAACTCCTAGGCCTTCCTTTCTCCCAGATTCTTGAATGATATCATGTCCCTAATGAAATATCAGGTCAGGTCAGGTCTTGTTTCAGGTCTCTTGCTCCCTACACCTATCTTCATTACTTTGTATTTTCTCGAATTAAACTCCTATAGCCATTTGATGGACTATTCCGTCAGTTTGTCAAGTTTATTTTGAAGCTTCATGGTGTCTTTCTGTCTACTGTCTTCCTTCTTACTTTTCATAATTTTAGCATCATCAGCAAACAAAGACAGGAATGATTCTAAAACCTCTGAAAGATCATTTAGGTATATCAAAAACAGAAAAGATCCGAGAACAGAACCCTGTGGTACTCGGCTAGTGACATCATGCTATCCTCAGACCTCACCCCTCACAGTAACTCTCTGTTTCCTATAGATAAGGTTCTCCCATATTCCCTGGAGAACCCTACCAGTTATTCTTGCCTGTTTCTCCAACTTATGCACCAGCATATGGGGCACTATGTCAAAGGCATTCTCATAGTCCAAGAAAGCACAGCCTTCCCACCTTTCTCTTTCTTGGTTAATCTTTGTCACCTGATCGTAAAATCCTATTAGACCTGTGAGACAAGATCTGCCATTCTGAACCCATGTTGGTGGGTAGTCTCTAAGTCCCTTCTCTCCAGATATGCTATTTTTTCGTCACGATCTTCTCCATCGCTTTGCATGATATACAAGTTAGGGACACTCTTGTCTGTCAAAAGTTCAGTCCCTCTTGTCTGTCACTTTTTTCGTATATTAGGACAGAGACAAGCAAAGTGCTTCTGCAAACTCTTTTGGATCGATGAAGAGATTCTGTCAAGTCCAACATCCTTTCTCATGTCCAGATCCAACAGGTACCTCCTAACTTCATCTCTGGCAATTTCGAACCCTTCCAAAGCTGCCTGGTTTGTTACCGTATCTCTTAGTTCGGGGACCTCACCTCGTTCTATTGTTAAAACCTCCTGGAATCTCTTGTTGATTTCTTCACACACCTCTATTGTTCTCTGAATGACCGCTTTCATTTTCATCATTTGTTCTTTCACTATTGATTTCCTTCTGATGTGATTGTGGAGCAGTTTTGCGTCGGTATTGACTTTATTTGCTATGTCATCTTTATACTGTCTCTGTGCTTCTCTTCATACACTGAGGTATTCATTCTTGGCCCTCTGGTATCTTAACCTGCTCTCTGTTCTTCTGTTATTTCTGCAGTTGCCCACGCACTTGCATCTGAGTGCCTTCCTTCCTCAAGTGCCTGATTAAATAGCGGATTCCTCTTTTGCTTAGTATTCCTTACTTTATGAGCGGCAGAAACATATTTACTCCCTCTTGACATTTTTGAGTGATGTAATCCATCATGTCTTGCACAGACTTTTCTCTGAGTCTTGTTTCTTATGGTATTTATGTTAGGAACTTTCTCATCTCCTCATAGCTTTCGTTTCGGTATGTTAGCCCTATTCTTTACGTTTTTTTTTTTTTTGGGGGGGGGGGGGGAGGGGGGAGATTACCCCTACCTCCATCAAATTCTCAGATGATAGTACAGTGTGAACACTTCCAACACTGACATTCCATGGAGCATCAAAATTAACTTCCCTTATGTCCGACTCATTCAGGGTGAATATCAGATCGAGTCTAGCTGGATCATACTCCTTAGTGTGTGTGTGTGTGTGTGTGTGTGTGTGTGTGTGTGTGTGTGTGTGTGTGTGTGTGTGTAATTACCTAAGTGTAATTACCTAAGTGTAGTTACAGGATGAGAGCTACGCTCGTGGTGTCCCGTCTTCCCAGCACTCTTTGTCATATAACGAAAAACACGAGAGTGAAGTGTACAACTTTAGAACACTTTCCCACCAGGAGACTCGAACCCTACCAGCACAGAAGCCTTCCAGCAACTGGCATAACAGGTACGCCTTAACCCGCTCCACCACCAGCTCAGACCCCTTAAAAAAATACGAAGAAAGCAGAAATGGTGGGAAATCGAACGCTCGTCAACATGTGTAGGATATCATCTTAGTAAATGCGGTCATTAACAGTACATTAACATTAACATTAACAGATTCGTGTGTGTGTGTGTGTGTGTGTGTGTGTGTGTGTGTGTGTGTGTGTGTGTGTGTGTGTGTGTGTGTGTGTGTGTGTGTGTGTGTGTGTCTGTTTCATTTTGTGTGTTTAGAATATATCTTATATATAAGAAGCGTCTTCTTATGTTTAGCACTCCTTTTGTGTTATAGGAAGCGGCAGACGAGAGTTCCCAGGCTGTGAAGCAACTTCCTGAGTACGTTGCTGGCGAGGTGAGTAACACTTCCACTCTACTATCATTAATATATTTTTTTTAGTACCTTCTGTTCAGCAGTTTCTGCTTCGAACTTGCAATAAAAAAATTCTTTTCCCAGCACAATCTTAAAAATTTGCTCCATTATAGGAGAGTACTAATCACGTGATCAAAGAATGCATATAAAAACTCGGAAACTTTGCAATAGAGAGACAAGGAAAGGATTCTGATCTTTCGTCGGGCGTCAGTGTTACACTGAGAGGGGATCTCTTGGAATCATTATATTTTATATTTATAGATTTCTTATTGCTGTGGAGTGATGAATGACGGTCTTACAGATGTATATGAATAATTAATACATATGACAAGGCAAAGTTTGGTGCATCTTGAATGGCTAAAAATAATAGTTTAGTCCTGACAAAAATGCAAATTGTTGTGCTAAGCATATTATATTTATGATCAGAAACATGTAGTTTGGTCCCTGATTGTGTTATAATCTATATTTTAAAGCTTAAACGCGGGGAAGCAATTTCAAGTAAACTTAGGTTTTTCATGCATAATATAAGAGGAGACTTCCTTCACGGAATTTGCATCGCCAGAGATCACAGAAAAGTGATTCATGGTATACTTTACCTTGAGGTTACCTTGCGTTCGTTCCAAGGAGCAACGTTCCTGCGGCCCGATCTCTCACGAGGCCTCCTAGTTGGTGATCTGGATAACAAGGCTGTTAGACGCAGCTGTTCACAGCCTAACGTATGAATCACAGCCCGATTTTGAGGTTTTCATTTAAGGAGTTTACCAAATTTTATTTTGTACTCTCAAATAGTTCATCTAGTTGTGCCCTTTATGTTAAGAGAGAAAACTGAAAAGTCTAGAGCGCTTGATAATGAAAGAATTCTCTCCCTCCTTTCCCCCGTCCCAAACCCAAATCCTTATCCTGACCCTATCCATGTGCTATATAGTCGTAATTGCTTGGCGCTTTTCCCTTATAGTTTCCCTGATATTTTTCCCAACTTCTCAGCTTATATATTTCACCTTTTCAACAGGGCTATTTTGTACGCATGTCATGCCTCCCTGTCTCATGTGGTGTTATTTCAATGGGGAACCAATGCCCGTAATATGTTCCGACTGTAAGTTACTATAAATCTCTTTTGCCTGCTCTCTAGAGAAGTGGAATTAAAGTGGTAGTGGCATGTTTTAGTCATTGTGATAGTTGTGGTGATTGTGGTGTATGTTAGTCGTTGTGGTAGTGAGAGTTGTTGAGGAACAAATTAGTCGTTTTGATAGATTCTTAATTTTGCAAAAATAGTAAAAACATCAACTAGCATTTATCCCCGCCCCCCTTCCTATGGCGCAGTCTCTATTTTTTTTGTTTGAGAGAGAGAGATATATACATATATACAAGAGTTGATACATTCTTGTTCAGACACTAGTATGCGTGGCGTTTCGGGCAGGTCCCTGGAATACGACCCCCGCGAAGAATCGTTGTTACAACCAAGTACCCATTTTACTGTTGAGTTAAACAGAGGCTACAGTTAAAGATTTGCGCCCAGTAAATCCTGCCCGGCCAGGATACGAACCCATGACAAAGCGCTCGCGGAACGCCAGGCGAGTGTCTTACCACTACCCCACGGAGATTGGTAAATATGTAGTTTGCTGTAATATTGAAAAGAAAGAAGTTAGTCAACACAGCGACGTCGTCGTCTCTTCATTTTCTGATGTGTGGTTTGGTCATCAATAATATACAGCTTGTGTGATTTTGATAAAAATAAATATTTCTGTGACGTTACAGATGCCGCATGAACTGACCCTTTTGTCTTTCTTCTTTTTCCGTCGATGGATTACAGGAGATGCTGGTGAAGGCCCAGGTGCCGCATGTGGAGAAAGGGGTCTTCGAGTTCTACCTCTGCCCTAAGACAGGCCCCGGGGATGAAGACTGCCTCATGAGGTGATACATCAAGTCTTTCTAGGCATAGTCCCCCACAGTTAGAATATTCACATACAGTTTGATAGAAAGACAAATGTCATTACAGTCAAGCAGTGTTAGATACAACTTGGAGTTTATATCACGAATAATTATAATGTATATATTTTCTTACAAAATTTCTTTAATATATTTGGTAAATTTTCATAACTTTCATTACAGAAAAGCCAAATTTATTTAATTTCTAACTCTTGAATTAAATTTAATCACGATTAACAAGTTTAAACTGTTTATTGCTTTACTTGCTTATTTACTTTGATCATGTGTTTGTACGCGAGTTGAAATATTTTATTTAACGGATATTTCTCCAAAAAGTCATTTTATGTAGGTTTCTGAGACATGATCTAACTTCACTTTAATGACATGACGCGCAGGTGGCCCTTGGAGATATCCGGGGTGGAAGGCCGTCAGTATAAGATGGATAAGAATACCCAGGGAGGAGAGTACAATATACCTCTCATCATACCTGCCCACTTCACCTGTGATTCCTGCACTCTTCAGGTGAGTAGTCTACATTTTAGCTGTTATCCTAGTTCTCTTCACTAGCATTCTCTCTTTCATGGTCTCTTCTTTGAAAATAACACACGCTACATATTATTGATGACCAAACCACACATCAGAAAATGAAGAGACGACGACGTCGCTGTGTTGACTCTAACTTCTTTCTTTTCAATGGAAAATACTACTTTCAAACTTTGGAGGTCTCTGCTCGCCTGTGCTGACGTGGCGTTACGATGGGGGTCCCTCTACCCCCTGTCGTCCGGGCTCAGTCTGTGGTGCTAGAGTTCTCTGTGCGGGCTGGTTACCCGGAGATTGCCCTGGCTTGTGAAATGCTCTCTGTCCCTGTGTTTGCGATTTATGGGGTCGAGTTGGTAACGGCGCGTAGGGCAATTGTGAAGTTCGCAGAGGAGGTGGCATATCGCGATTTTCTCCGGCCATACGAGGGGCGGACACTAACCCTGCCGGATGGTGCGGGCACTGTAACCCTCTCGGATAGAAGTGGTGCACTTACTTACATCAGTGTGCATGGGGCTCCCTTGGAGTTTCCAGAGGCTCTGCTACGGCGGTATTTCGGCTGGTTTGGCGCAGTTGTTAGTGTGAGGGTGAACGTGGTGTCTTCTAGTCCTCTTAAGGCTGTGAGGTCTAAAATTCGCACCCTGGGCATGAGACTTTGGGCGGATATTCCGTCCTCTGTGCGCCTTATGGGGTACAACGTTCGGGTGTTTTACGCCCGTCAGCCGCGGACGTGTTATCGTTGTGGTCTTTTGGACCATCAGGCTGTTGACTGTTCTGCGCCTGCTGTTGCACCAGTGAATCTCTTCAGTGAGGAGGATTTTCCGCCCCTTCCTGTGGGGGATGATTCGGTGGGTGTGGACGTCTCTTCGGCTGAGGAGGTGCTCTCTGTATCAGCTGTTGCTCCGCCTGTTGCGCCCCCTGTTGTTGCCGCATCTCCTCCGGAGGTTGTGTCCTCGCCTAGTGCTTAGCCTGCTCCGGCTGGTGTCCCTGAGCCTCTTCCATCTGCCGTTTGCTCGGACCCCTCGTCTTCCAGTTCTTCCTCTGCTGTGTCTGTCCCGGTCCCTACACCCTCGCCGTCTGTTCCGGCTGTGCTGGGAGCTGGGGTGGATCCGGCATTCCCTCCTGTGCCTGGCCTGGTGCCCTGTGTGGTTGAGGATGCTGCCGTACTGCGGCGTGCGTCGGTTCGCTAGGCTGGTGCTGCGCGGGTCGCTGAGTCTGCCTCCGGGTCTGATGATGTGCGGCCCGAGCCTAAGCGTTCCCGGCGTTCTTCTGCGTGGGCTGAAGTTGGCGACTTCGACGAGTGTCGTCCTTCCGTTGACGGTGGGGTGGCTCCGGATGTGGTGCACACTACGGTGGTGGCGGAGGTACACTTGCCTGAGGATGCCGGTGCCGGCGTTTCGGCCTCCCCTCCTGGTCTGGTGTCCGAGGGTCCTGCTTCAAGTGTGTTGCCTGCGTGAGGTGGCTCCGGTTCTTCGTGGGGAGTGGTTCCCCCTGCTGTGGTTGGTGGTGAGCGGGGTGGCCTGGTGATGGTGTTGCGAAAGGATGCTCGCTCTGAGAGTTCTGTGGCCCCTTCCTCGTTACCCGTTTCCTCGGCAGCGGTCTTGCCGCCTCTTCCGTCTCTAGAAGTCTCTTCTGTGTCTCCTGCGGTATCCATGGAGATGCTACAGTCTCGTCGTCCGGCCACTGCTCCTATGTGTGCGACTTCGTGGCAGTCTCGGCGGCCCTCGTCCGCTTCTCCAGTGTCGTCTGCTTCCTCGATGGGCGTGGATGGCGCTCCCCGGCCTCGTTATGCGACTTGCGTCAGTGACCTCGGGCGTTGGCCGATGCCGCCCGATATAGATGTTCCTGAGTTTATGATACCCCCTCGGGCAAGGGGGATCAAAAACCCTATCGACCTTGAAGATTTGGTCTGGGAAGCTTACAAGGCGAAGTATCCTTCCGATGATTTCCCGGAGAAGTACATTTCTCACCCTGTTCCTCGCAAATGATTTCTATGTTTCTTGTTGTGTACGGTGCGGATGGGGTGTGTGTGTGTGAGTGGGTGGGGTGGGTTTTGTTTCCCAGTTCCTGCGTGCTCCGGTGTACGTTGTAGGTTTTCTTTGTATGGCTGGTGGGTGGGTGTGCGGTTCCTGTGTATTTGTGTGGATGTCGTATGCGCTTATGTATGTCATATTGTGTGCCCTTCAGGCTGTTGGCGAGTGCTCTTTGTTCGGTTGTGCCATTTTGTTTTGCCTTCCGTTTGTTATGGCGTGCTTTACCTGTTGTACGTGTTTGCTCTTTATGTTTTGTTTGGGATGTATTGTGTTTGTACTGTTATGTTCCCTGTTGTGCCTTTGATGTATGTTTTGTTTTATGCCGCTTTTGTTTTGTGATGTTATTGTGCTAGTTTGCCTTTGTAATATATTTTGCCATTGTTTTACATTATACCTTGTATGCCATTGTATTATACCTTGTTGTATGCTGTATTTTTCTGTCTTTATCGTGTTTGTGGTTTATTGTGACATGCTGTCGGCCCTTCTGGCCGGTGGTCTATTGTGTTCTTTTGTTCTGTTCTGTATTCTGTGTTTTTTTATTGTATTTAAGTTGCATGCTTTGCATGTAAAAAAAAAATAAAAAAAAAAAAACTTTCAAACTTTGGGCGTTGCTATGGGTTCCTCTCTCCCCTCTCCTTGCCAGTCACTATATGGAGCATCTCGAAGCTGTTCTTCCTACTATTAATACTCGTTCTTCTCTCTGGCTTCGTTAAGTTAATGATGTTTTTGCTTTATGACCTTATGGTCCTTGTCATTTCCAACCTTTTTTTTATCTTCTCTCTTGACAATCTGGCTCCTTCTATTATTTGCATAGCTGATTGGGAATCAAAGTCTCTCATTCCTTTCTAGATGTTCATGTTCACAGATCTGGGACTAGGTTATCTTGCTCTGTTTAACGCAAGCCTTCGCACAGTGATATGTACATTCACTTCTTTCTTAATATTCCCCCCTTTTATTGAGAAAAGGAATCTCGTTTAACTCTTCCAGGTCCTAGCATCAGTAACCCGCAGTTTCTTGATTATGAAATTTACTTTATTTACATGTATCTCTCGCCTTGGATATCTTACATTATATCAACTGTGGCTATTCTGAAGCTAAACTAAATATTACACTAGTAACACTGCTCTACCTTCATGTCATATCTGAACTCAAAAATATCACTAATGCCTTTCGTTTTCTTGATTTAAACTCACCTTTTCGACAAACTAACACACGCAAGTAACCTGGTTCACACTGCTCCTCCTGCGTCTAATGCTGCTGGTGTCTACTCTATTTCCTACTCCTCTTGTCCTCTCCGATACTTTGTGAAACTAGGTGTTCACTAAATGAAAGACTTAATATACACGAAAGAACTGTAGGCATAAACACTGCTCTATTCTGTAGTGTTAGGGACTCTAATCATGCTATTGATTGGTCTTCTAAAATAATCTTTAATAATGCCTCTACTCTTCACAAACGCCATCTTGTTGACTCTGCTTTGATACAAAATACTCCCAACATGATTACTAATCCTAGCGTGTTGCTGTTGACTCTTCCCTGTCACAATACATACCTAAATATTCCAACCTTCTTAACAAACGTGACCAGACTTAACCTTTGCCCCTTTCTTGTTGACTAGACCATACACTAGAAGGTGAAGGGACGACGACGTTTCGGTCTGTCCTGGACCATTCTCAAGTCGATTGTCAATCGACTTGACTATCAACATACTTCAGCCACGTTATTGTGACTCATCACCTGCATTTGCCCCTTTCTCTTATTCTTTCCCCATTTTCCTATTCTTACCTTACTTTTATTCTCATCCTATTCTTACCTTTAATCTTACTCTTACCTTTTTATCTTACCTCCATCTATTCTTACCTTTTTCTCTTACCTTCATATTATTCTTACCTTTTTCTCTTTCCTTCATCTTAATCTCACCTTCTTATTATTCTTACTGTCATCTTATTCTTTCCTTCATCTTATTCTTACTTTCATCGATTTCTTACCATTTTCCTTATTCTTACCTTCATCTTATTCATACATTCATCGTATTCTTAGCATTTTCTTATTCGTACCTTCATCTTATTCTTACATTCATCGTATCCTTACCTTTTTCTTATTCTTATTCTTACCTTCATCTCATTCTTACCTTCCTTTTCTTCTCATCCTATTCTTACCTTTCTTCTTATTCTTGCCTTCTACTCTTACCTTTTTTCTCATACATGTTCCTCACTTCTCATTCACTCTCTTACCTTATTTATTTGTTTGTCCCTTCGTCTCTTCTATCACACGACTGGATAATGGTTCAGGACGGACCAAGACGTCCATTCTTCATTTTCTGATGTGTAGTGTGGTCATCATATCTTCAACCACGTTATTGTGATTCATCGTATGTTTATATATTATTCACATCATTTATTATTATGATTGTTGCCTTGAGAAGGATTCGAACCTGCACACTGGGCACTCCCATGCTCACACCTAAATCCACTTAATAACGATATTCTCTAAATCAAAGAAACCTGGTACTCCTCTGAATCTAGGTGTCCTGAGGCTTCCACTGAAGCCAAATAGGGGTTTCAATCATTACCCATATGCACTCTGGCTGTGGTATAGGAGTTCTACCTCCCACACTTCTCTTCCAATACACAAAGATATCACATTGATGTGATTTGTGATTCGTGATTTCAATCCCAGGTTTCATTGCTTTTGAGGATGTCGTTGTAAAATGATTTAAAACATGTGCTTGGGAGTACCCAGTGTGCAGGTTCGAATCCTCCTCGTGGCGTCTACTGATTGTCTTATTGATGCATCACGTTTATGAGATTTTTTGTGCATTATGGTTGCTATTAAACAAATATTTCTTTAGTTATTGTTGTTTGCTTGTTGCAAGCTTCAAGTACACGTTTTTTCTGTACAGTTATCGGCAACAATGTTAATTTTGCCTTAAGCTGTATATAATTTTTATGAATATGGTTCATTTATAGCTCACTAGTCATCTATTCTGTAGACGACTATAAGTCACTGTTTCACACAGTGGAGATGTTACCGCATGAAAAGCATCTTGTTTTATTCTCAAGTTGCCATAAGGCCTTGGCTAACTGTTAAGAGTACAGTTGCATCCCAGCAATTGGTTATCTCAGGTAAACTCGAGTAGCCCATCTTAGGACTCCTTAGGACCCGTCTTACAACAATCTGAGAAGAGGTTGTATGGTATGATTAAACCAATGATCAAAGTCCCTGAGAGTTACGTAAAATCACCACAAGGCCCAAACCAAATCTAGTAATGGGTTTGATCAATTACATGAATGTGAAAAAACTAGCATAATTACACCTCAAGACTCCAGGAAAATAACCTTCCTAGTCATACCGGCAGCATAAGATAACATAATTGTGCAGTACCTCTTCTTCTTCTTCTTCTCAGGACTGATATTTTCACTTTTATTTAATGGGTTATGCAATGGGAAAAGTTTCCAATTTATCGATTACTTCTCACGACTCTCTGTGATATAAAAAACACAGACATCTTGTAAAAAAAAAGATTTACTCCATCAAGTTGCTGGTTCCGTTTATTTCTGGCGAACCTATCGTTTTTCCAAGTCTAATGTAATCTAGTTTTTTAATAAATGTCCAAAGTTCGAAAAAAAGTTATTATTTTTTTTAAATTGGTGGAAAATGATGAACACTTCTTTGCTACCTATAGCATCGGCAGAATTATAAATCTTCGCCTCATCTCAAGACATGAGATGTCTCATCTCAAGACATAAGATGTCTCATCTCAAGACATGTGATGAGGATGTAGACAGGAGGCATATGAAATTTAGAGTACTCTGTTATCTGTGAAGAGAAAAGATAAGGTGGGTACATGATTATAGGAAAGATAATTCTACGGTCTCGCTCAAACAATTCCTTTCCCAATTTATATTTCATCAAAATAGTGTTTTATCCAATAGGCTTGTATAAAACAAAGCTACAATCCTTAAGTAAGAATTCACAAGTCAGATGACATTGAAGATCATTATTTAACAGATTATATTAGATTAAGGAACTTATTCGTTAATAATTTATGCAAATCGTTACAATTCTGTCATATTTTGGTCCGCTCTCCAAAGTTGCGAGGAATATAAGCAATACCTAATGTTCATACTAAATTTTACCTTAAAGGATCAAAAAAGTCTTAACACATCCAGAATCCCACTAATATGAGACTTGATCTCACATATGTTTTAATGCAGGGAGCCGGTCGGCCGAGCGGACAGCACGCTGGACTTGTGATCCTTTGGTCCTGGGTTCGATCCCAGGCGCCGGCGAGAAACAATGGGCAGAGTTTCTTTCACCCTATGCCCCTGTTACCTAGCAGTAAAATAGGTACCTGGATATTAGCTAGCTGTCACGGGCTGCTTCCTGGGGGTGGAGGCCGGGCCGAGGACCGGGCCGCAGGGACACTAAAAAGCCCCGAAATCATCTAAAGATAACCTCATGATATGCCCAATTTTTTTTTAAGCAGTTATGCAATGAAATGAGTTTAGATATTTAGCCAAGAAACACAGACAATAATTAACATGTATGTTATCTTTATAGTTATGGGACAATTATCAACATTAACAATATAATTTTATTAAGACACCAACTACCACTTTTAACATTCGGTGCATTTTAACATCCCTGTTAGGTACAGATCTTTACTCCGTAGGTACAGATCTTTATTATATTCTTTATAATACTAACAATTAGCAGTTTAGATAATACGTAAATTAATAAAAGTATATGCAAATTTTATAAGAGAAAACCACCACAAACATCATAAGCTGCCTTCAATAAATAAATTTCTCCAAAAAAGTCGAGCATTTTTTCAGTAAACTCACTGTTTCAGGCTCTTCAGTAAACTTCGAGGTTGATATACCTTGTGGGCTTTCACGGAGAAAATATTATTGTCGTTTAAATATTAGAGAGTGAACTGTATCAATAGTTGTAAGTAGTTCTCACACAGCCCCCAAGAACAGTTAAATTTAATTATTAATTAAATCTATATCATCCAGTGCATTATTGAAAATAAGTACTGTTTAATGTAGATATTATATTTCGAGGTAAATTGTAAAATTAACAATGTTAATTTAAATAGTTCATTTAAGTATTAGCTAAATTCTAATAGTTATATAATTTATAAAACGTGAAAGGAAATTCCTTTAGTTTCATAATTGTTTAAGATAGTGCGAGTGTCAGAGTCAGGCGGCGTCGGGCTGGCCCATGGGATGGCGTTATTTAACTACCAACTTCTGTAGTATGCAGTAGTTTGTTAATTAAACTTAAACAATGTGTGATCCTCATAAAGATTTAATTAAATATTTCATTAATAGAGTTATGTTAGTAAATATTTCCCCACATTCCTCACCTCACGTAAAAAGTCGTTTCTTCAATGGCGACAATCTTTCTCCCAAGGCAGATATCTTTTGAACTCCGTTACCTACACACTTTCCACTTTATAACACTTACCTGACTGTAACTAATCCATCGTCTCTGGTAAACGCCGTGTTGCTGCTACTGCTGCCGCGATACATAGTGGACAGTGGTGTCGGAGCAATGCTCTCCTGAGGACGGTGTCGTCGGGGCCGGTTCCTCCTGCTCCAACCAGCGGACCACACTCTGCTCGGACATCTCCATCATGGAGCGAAAGTAAGAATCTTGCTGTAGTTGCCAGACACACACAGGTTAGACTAACGTGTAGCATCATCCATCTGTCTGAGTTCAGACCTACGAATGTGTTATCTATCTATACTCACTAAGCCATTTACATATACCCAATGTTGCATCTATCAATACCAATAAAGTAGCATTTGCATATACCAAATGTTCCATTTATATATGTACACAATGAACCATCTGCTTACGCCTAATGAACCATCTATCTTTACTTAATGTAAAATTTGTCTTTACTTAATGTTTCATCTAATTATTCCTAATGTACCATCTAACTATATCCATTGTACCATCTACCTGAGTCATTTGGGCCATTTGTACATACCCAATTTACAGGCTATCAATTCCTTATGCATCATTAAAACTCATTTCCCTATCTGTACGAAAGGCTCCCTCTACCTATACTTAAAGTACCATCTACCTACTCCCAATGTACCAAAAACCTATTGAAATTGTACGATATATATCTTATCATTATAACATCAAACTATACTTAGTGCAACTCATAGGTATATTCAGTGCACCTAGTGAAAACAATAGGGATATTTATGTCAGGTTTCCTGGCATTGTCCGCATGCACTCTGGCTGTGGTATAGGAGTGGCTACCTCCAACGCTTCTCTTCAAATGCACAAAGAAGTGCATTCAAAGAGAAGCGTTGGAGGTAGAACTCCTCCTATACCACAGCCAGAATGTATGTCCTATACCACAGCCAGAGTGCATGTGGGGAATTAGTGAAACCTTGATTTGGTTCCAGAGGAAGCCTCAAGACAGTAGATGAATCGGATGAATAAGGATATTATTTTATTCTAAGTCATTGGCAATGATCACCAGTCCGAGAACTTTTATTCACAAGTTGGAAGACTCTTACACATTTAAATTCTTTTTGTATAAAATAAAAATATATATTTACATACGTTCAAAAAATGTCAATATTCAAGTCCAAACAATTATCTATAAACAAGTGCAAAAAATAGATGAACACAATCCAAACACTTGTGTGTCCCTCGGTCTTCAGGACGCCATCATCCCCTCCTTCCCATGGTTTCTGGTCAATACAAGATCCTTGGTTCCCAATCAAAACGTTCATTGCTCAGAAATGCATGTCATTGTCGTATGTATGTATGTATGTATGTATTCACCTATCTGGACTTACCTCTTCACACATACCTATTCATACTTAATTTAACCTCTCAGTTCCATACCATCTTCCATTCTTATCTTCAACGTTCCATACCATTGTGTACCCACCTATTCATACTTCCCTTATGCCATGGAATTTATGGGGATTAATGGTGGAATGTCAGTTTCAGGAAAAATCCATTAACGTGGATCAGCCCTTGAAACACTCGTGAATGTGTGATTTAACTCTTGAGTTCCAATCATTCCAGCCCATTTTTTGTACTTATTCCGGTGTTCCATTTGTTGCAGATGGTCTACTAGTCTATTCACACTTTGCAATTCATGCTAATACACATAGAGACCAGCTTTCATATTATGTGTTCTCGACTATGTGCACCCGGCTATTTGTATTAGAGTCCATCATCCATGTCGTGTGTATACTCTCCGATTTGCGTTTGTACAGATATTCCAAAACATTTCCCAACTCATTTAGAGTGTGTAAGAGAGAGCGAGAGAGTGAGTACATACGAGAGTGGATGACGATGCATGAGTATGAGCTGTCGTGAGCGAGTGTGCGTAACTGTTAGTGGTTTCTGGTATTTTATAAGAATCAAGACCATTCCAACCTGTGTCATACTCACACTTCTCTGTTTACTCAATCATTGTTGAATGTTTCTTCCATGTTAGGGTGTAGAGGAGTAAAATGAGCTTCTTAGACCTACCTCAGTCTGTCAGACTTCGTTTCATCAGTTATTGTGGTTGTTTAATTTCCCTCATCCACCAGCTAGGGTGCCACTCCTTAGTTCAAATTACACCCACCAGATGTCACTAAAGGTATACGACCTAACCTAAACTTGTACTAACGACTTAGCTTTGCAGTGAAAAATCTGTTTGGTTTTACAAATCTTGAGACAAATCTTTTGTCTCAATTGACAAATTCATTAAGACGTAACAAACTTTATGTAAAGTCAAACTTTGCAAATCAATCTTTCTGTATCATATCTTATTTATCATGACTATTTTATGTGGTAAGAAAATCAAAATAATATTTTTGTGACTTATCGTCTTTATACAATGTCTGCTCGAAATATCACTGGTTTGTAACAGCTTTCCATTATCAAAACAAGACAGCATTTATTTAGACAACATATACGTAGACGTGTATGCTGGTTTCAGGGCGTGCCTCTGGCGCCTTAAAACCAGCTGCTCCGGGTAGATGGGACTCGATAGCCTGGGAAGGCAGCCCATCTAGGGGGAAGGAAAACCCTGATTTTAAACCTCCGCTGCCTTGCGGCCATACCCCTTTTTTGGGAAAGGCTTCAGGAGTCAACCTCGAGGAAAAATCCGGAGTTGGAGCCCCTAAGGCAGTTCGTTGTTGATGTCGACCTCGTTCTAGCAGCTCCTGCGACGTTGCTGGAACCATGTGTATTGGCATTTTCCTTTCTATTGGATAATTTCAGCAAAGTGGAGAGGGGGGACCTGCTGCATGGGTAACAGCTTCTCCTCCATATCTACCTACCCAGGCTTTGCGCCCTGTCAGGGCGCAACTCCATATTCTTAGACTGTAGGATGCCTAATATGCCTACTACATAGACAGTCTTTGTGCAGTGTCGTAGCTATCATTAGTGTTTTATGCATGATCAAGCTTATTAGTATTGCTTCTGTAACAACAACATTACTGATCTTAAGCAACAACACCAACAAATTCAACTTTATCTGATAGCAAACTATACTTGGGTAACTTTTTTATATGACTTTTATGAAGTAACAAATTTCTTTATGAAACATTTTTCTCAAACATTAAAAAGAAAATTATACCAAACCTTTCTGTTAAAAACTTTTAAAAACTTCTGTAAAAACTTTTAAAAACTTCTTCTGTAAAAACTTTTCAAAACTTCTTCTGTAAAAACTTTTAAAAACTTCTTCTGTAAAAACTTTCGAAACTTCTATCTATAACAAACTTTTCAAAGCTTTTTGTAAGAAAGTTTTCTGTGAGAAACTTTTTGAAACTTTGCATATTAACCATATTTCTTTTACAAAGCTTTTCCTGCTAAGTATTTTAGAACTCTTTGCAACAAACTTTTTGGTAAGAAAATTGTCAAAACATTTTGTATAATTTTTTTTCTGTAGAAAACTTTTCAGTGTCAATCTTTCAAAACATTTTGTAACAAAGTTTTCTGAATTAAAATTTTCAAATTGCATCAATTTTTTTTCTGAGTGTCAAGTGAGTGTTTGGAGCCCCGAACATTCTTTAAACACTCCGGGTCCCAAGCACCAACTTCATACACGGGGTCACCAACACCTACTTGACACACATGGTCGCCACCACCCACTTAACTCACAGGATTCCAAACAACAAGATGACAGACGGGAGTCCCCAACTCCCACTTAACACAGTGGGTCTTCCAAACACCACTTAACACCCAGTAGTCCCCAACACGCCATTAACCCCTCTTGGGTTACCCAACACCAACTTGACATTTGCGGTCCTCCAACACTCGCTTGAAACATTAGGTCCCAAACACCCTGTTAACACACAAGATTCCCGACACCAACTTGAGACACGGGGTCTTTAAGAACTACTTAACACATGTGGTCCTCAGCAACACATTAACATACGGGTTCTCCAAATACACACCAAACATAGGGTCTTAGCAACACCCACTTAACACATTGGTTGCCCATACACCGGTTCATTACACAAGACCCACAGTAGTCGCTTGACACACGAGGTCATAAGCACATAGATTAACACAATGGTCCCCAACACCAACATGAAATCTTTACACGGGCTCCTGAACAACCACTTAACACACGAGGTCACCAGCACCCATCTGGCACCTGAGGTCTTCAGTAACCACTTTACAAACATCGTCCGCAACACCCACTACACAGACAGTATCATCAATACACATATGACGCATGGTGTACCTCCCCCTTATCTCTGCCACGTGGAGCTCCACACCCACTGCATGCACAGTGTTCCCCCCATGCTCATCTTATGCGGTGTTCCCTCCATGCTCATCTTATGCGGTGTTCCCCCCATGCTCATCTTATGCAATGTTCCCCCAGGCACACCTCACACAGTGTTCCCCCATGCACACCTTACACAGTGTTCCCCCATGCACACCTTACACAGTGTTCCCCCATGCACACCTTACACAGTGTTCCCCCATGCACACCTTACACAGTGTTCCCCCATGCACCCCTTGCACCTCTCCTGCACTTGACACACATCAGAAGAACGAAGCCCATAATTGTCAACATTGTCACTCGTCATTAGATTATTTAAAATGTGTCACTGACTACCTTCAACAGTTGCATGATACTCAGGACTGCCTAACTAGGTCAACACAGATACAATACATTGCAATAGTATTTGGCGGATAGAACATGTACTTTTAATAGGCATTACATTACTCTCCTTAGAAACACAACTGATCAAACACTTTACAATAATAAAGATTTTCTGTTTGTTGCAGACGGCGTGAGAAGAGATTCTGGAGTTTTATCAAAAATATCTTCAGCGGGCTTTTTGGTTGAGTTTTCCAAAACCAATCATAATTCATATGGAGCTATCCAACCCAATCCTAACACATATGGAGCTCCAACACAATCCATATATACCTGGAGCTATTCAAGCCGATCCAAATATACCTGGAGCTATCCCACCCAATCCAAATTATACCTGGAGCTATCCAACAGTCAAAATTTAGGTTAAAAAGCTGGCCATTGAAATTGCGTAAAGCTATCCACAAAGACATACAGATATGCAAGCAGAAAGATTCCATGTATAATATATATATACATACATATATATATATATATATATATATATATATATATATATATATATATATATATATATATATATATATATATACATATATATATATATATATATATATATATATATATATATATATATATATATATATATATATATATATATATATAATATATATATATATATATATATATATATATATGTATAATATATATATATATATATATATATATATATATATATATATATATATATATATATATATATATATATATATATATATGTGTATAATATATATATATATATATATATATATATATATATATATATATATATATATATATATATATATATATATATATATATATATATATATATATATATATATATATATATATATATAATGTTGTACCTAGTAGATAAAACCAAAGATGCATGAAGTTTATAAATTCTTGAAGCAATTCACATAAGGTTAAGATCTCAAATCACGGAACTATTTACTCTACCGACCATGAGAGTAAAGACAAGACCAGAACATAACGATGCCAACACAGAAGACAATGTAACAGGCCAATTACACAATATTAATCTTTGGGATAGGAGCTGCCTCGTATGGGCCAATAGGCCTTCTGCAGTTACCTTTATGTGCTTCGTCCCCCTTTTATCTCCTATGTATCCCCCGTGTTTTTAGTTATATTGTACTTGTCTTATTACCTGACCCCGTATGGGTATAAATCAACGAGTTCTGTAAATTTTTTCGCTTGAGAATGAACCATGGAGGTTTGAAACGTTGTGCAAATTGTATAAATAAGTGTAATACATTCTATAGTAATTGACTTTTTTTCTTCACCTTGAAATAACGAAAATGAGTTTTGAAGAACTCCTCTTTCAGCTAAGCCCTGATGCTAGGAAAAGTTAGAGGGATAGAAGCCCTAAATCAGAAGATAGTAAATACTGAATATGCGGTCAAATTCAATGATGTGTATATATATATATATATATATATATATATATATATATATATATATATATATATATATATATATATATATATATATATATATATATGTGTGTGTGTATATATATATATATATATATATATATATATATATATATATATATATATATATATATATATATATATATATATATATATATTGTTAAATATGACAGAAAAAGTAAGATTAACAATTCTAACACGAATTTTCTCAATATTTCTAGTGTTTCTTTTTACTGTTGATGGTAAATGAAAAATCAATTCTCCAAAATTCATTTTTATTTCTAGTCTGATGCAACACTTGAACGCGTTTCGTAATAACTTATTACATTTTCAAAGACTTTAGTTTACACACACACAACTATAACCTGCAAACACTAAACAGAGTTTTACTATGCTAATATTTAAACATCTTTTGTCTTATATACTCGCATTTGGGGGAGGTGATATGTTACAAAAGTTTCAGATGAGGTGAGCAAACTTTCGACACAAGACAGAACACGGTTCAGTGGGTATAGATGAAAGGGAAGAATGGAAGTAACTGCAAAGGGCCTATTGGCCCATTTTTCCTCTTGATACTTCTATATTGGTACGGAGTCTTGAAGTGGGTAGAATATAGTTGTGCATTAACTGGCTGTTGATTGCTCGTGTTGATTTTTTGATGTGTAGTTCCTCGCAGATGTCAAGCCTCCTGCTATCGCTGTATCTATTGATGATTTCTGTGTTGTTTGTTAAGACTTCTCTGGTGATGGTCTGGTTGTGGGAAGAGATTATATGTTCCTTAATGAAGCCCTGTTGCTTATGCATTGTTAATTGCCTGGAAAGAGATGTTGTTGTCGTGCCTATATACTGAGTTCTTTGGGGCTTACAGTCCCCAAATGGGCATATAAGGGCATAGACGACGTTGGTCTCTTTTAAAGCGTTCTGCTTTGCGTCTGGAGAGTTTTTCATGAGTAGGTTGGCCGTTTGTTTGGTTTTAGAGTAAATGGTCAATTGTATCTTCTGATTTTTGTCTGTAGGGATAACTTTCCAATTAACAATATCTTTCAGGACCCTTTCCTCCGTTTCATGAGCTGATGAAAAGACGTTCCTGTAAAATAGCCTAATAGGGGGTACATGTGTTGTGTTAGTTGTCTCTTCACAGGTAGCATGGCGTTTCACCTTCCTTTTAATGATGTTTTCAACGAAACCATTGAAGAAGCCATTGTAGACTAGGACCTGTCTTGTGAGCTGATGGTAACCTCGGCTACCATCAGTTTTTGACCAGTCGTGATGGTCGAGTGGATTAAGGTGTCTTGTACACATCAGTTGCATTGCTCCTGGCAGTATGGGTTTGAGTCACTTCTGGGGTGTGAGTTTTCAGTTGCATATAGTCCTGGGGACCATTCAGGCTTGTTCACGTTTGTGTTCCTCATGTGGATTAATGGTGGAATGTCAGTTTCAGGAAAAATCCATTAACGTGGATCAGCCCTTGAAACACTCGTGAATGTGTGATTTAACTCTTGAGTTATAATCATTCCAGCCCATTTTTTGTACTTATTTCGGTGTTCCATTTGTTGCAGATGGTCTACTAGGCTATTCACACTTTGCAATTCATGCTAATACACATAGAGACCAGCTTTCATATTATGTGTTCTCGACTATGTGCACCCGGCTATTTGTATTAGAGTCCATCATCCATGTCGTGTGTATACTCTCCGATTTGCGCTTGTACAGATATTCCAAAACATTTCCCAACTCATTTAGAGTGTGTAAGAGAGAGCAAGAGAGTGAGTATATATGAGAGTGGATGACGATGCATGAGTATGAGCTATCGTGAGCGAGTGTGCGTAACTGTTAGTGGTTTCTGGTATTTTATAGACGAATCAAGACAATTCCAACCTGTGTCATACTCACGCTTATCTGTTTACTCAATCATTTTTGAATGATTCTTCCATGTTAGGGTGTAAAGAGGTAAAATGAGCTTCTTAGACCTACCTCAGTCTGTCAGACTTCGTTTCATCCGTTATTGTGGTTGTTTAATTTCCTTACATCCACCAGCTAGGGTGCCACTCCTTAGTTCAAATTACATCTACCAAACGTCACTAAAGGTATACGACCTAACCTAAACGTGTGCTAACGACTTAGCTTTGCAGTGAAAAATCTGTTTGGTTTTACAAATCTTGAGACAAATCTTTTGTCTCAATTGACAAATTCATTAAGACGTAACAAACTTTATGTAAAGTCAAACTTTGCAAATCAATCTTTCTGTATCATATCTTATTTATCAGGACTATTTTATGTGGTAAGAAAATCAAAATAATATTTTTGTGACATATCGTCTTTATACAATGTCTGCTCGAAATATCACTGGTTTGTAACAACTTTCCATTATCAAAACAAGACAGCATTTATTTAGACAACATATACGTAGACATTAGGTTTCTGGGCGTGCCTCTGGCGCCTTAAAACCATCTGCTCCGGGTAGATGGGACTCGATAGCCTGGGAAGGCAGCCCATCTAGGGAAGGAAAACCCTGATTTTAAACCTCCGCTGCCTTGCGGCCATACCCCTTTTTTGGGAAAGGCTTGAGGAGTCAACCTCGAGGAAAAATCCGGAGTTGGAGCCCCTAAGGCAGTTCGTTGTTGATGTCGACCTCGTTCTGGCAGCTCCTGCGACGTTGCTGGAACCATGTGTATTGGCATTTTCCTTTCTATTGGATAATTTCAGCAACGTGGAGAGGGGGGGGACCTGTTGCATGGGTAACAGCTTCTCCTCCATATCTACCTACCCAGGCTTTTCGCCCTGTCAGGGCGCAACTCCATAGTCTTAGACTGTAGGATGCCTACTATGCCTACTACATAGACAGTCTTTGTGCAGTGTTGTAGCTATCATTAGTGTTTTATGCATGATCAAGCTTATTAGTATTGCTTCTGTAACAACAACATTACTGATCTTAAGCAACAACACCAAAAATTCAACTTTATCTGATAGCAAACTATACTTGGGTAACTTTTTTATATGACTTTTATGAAGTAACAAATTTCTTTATGAAACATTTTTCTCAAACATTAAAATGAAAATCATACCAAACCTTTCTGTAAAAACTTTTAAAAACTTCTTCTATAAAAACTTTTAAAAACTTCTTCTGTAAAACTTTCGAAACTTTTATCTATAACAAACTTTTCAAAGCTTTTTGTAAGAAAGTTTTCTGTAAGAAACTTTTTGAAGCTTTGCATATTAATCATATTTCTTTTACAAAGCTTTTCCTGCTAAGTATTTTAGAACTCTTTGTAACAAATTTTTCTGTAAGAAAATTGTCAAAACATTTTGTATAATTTTTTTTTCAGTAGAAAACTTTTCAGTGTCAATCTTTCAAAACATTTTGTAACAAAGTTTTCTGAATGAAAATTTTCAAACTACAGCAATTTTTTATCTGAGTGTCAAGTGAGTGTTTGGAGCCCCGAACATTCATTAAACACTCCGGGTCCCAAGCACCAACTTCATACACGGGGTCACCAACACCTACTTGACACACATGGTCCCCATCACCCACTTAACTTACAGGATTCCCAAACAACAAGATGACAGCCGGGAGTCCCCAACTCCCACTTAACAAAGAGGGTCTTCCAAACACCACTTAACACTCAATAGTCCCCAACACCCCATTACCCCCTCTTGGGTTACCCAACACCAACTTGACACTCGCGGTTCCCCAACACTCTCTTGAAACATTGGGTCCCAGACACCCATTTAACACACAAGATTTCTGACACCCTCTTGAGACACGAGGTCTTTAAGAATTACTTAACACATGTGGTCCTCAGCAACACCTTAACATACGGGTTCTCCAAATACACACTAAACAAGGTCTTAGCAACACCCACTTAGCACATTGGTTGCCTATACACCGGTTCATTACACAAGACCCAGAGTAGTTAGTCCCTTGACACACGAGGTCATAAGCACATAG